CCCCAAAACCCCAAAACCCCAAAACCCCAAAACCCCGAAGGATGTACGATAAATAGAATAATTATTAAAATGGATCACTGGAAGAGAGCCTGCAATGGAGAACTTTATGACAACGCTGTCTACAGATTCGTAGTCAACACTGTCAGCTGGATAATCATTGGGATCTTACTAGCAGTTAGAATTATAACTGCTGATAGTAGCAAAGGCTTCAGCCTGTTTTATTATATCTACCAGACCTATCTATTTGCAAGCTGAATCCCTTTTATTTTCTTTATTAGTGCTCCAAGATACTGGGTTGCAATCATCGGTAAGCTTACATCATAACCATTTAGAGCGAAACAGACGAGGAAATGGTGATGTAGATTGAGACCCATTACTATTTATCTATTTCATTATCACACTGTTTGGATACTCAGGATACCCTGTGTTCTTTTGTTTTAAACAGCAAGAAAGGAAGCACCCATTTTGCTTTTTATCTTTCTTTTTTCTTCCTATTTATCACGCTTGCTCTGTGCTCGTATTCCCTATGATCTTTGACTCCGACAATGGGAATCTCTTATTTATTTTTTTTGGGCTGTTATATAGCTATTTGTACTTTATGTTCACTGCACAGGCTTATATGATGTATGATAGAAAATTGCTAAAGGTTGTCTTTTATATCCATCCGGTACACTGGCTGGTCTTGGTGGTTGGATTTCCAGTTGTAATGATTGTCGAAGCTATTATGCACCAGATAGCCAATGCGCATAATGTCAAACATCAACATGTTGTCACTGCGAGTAAGACTAAACATTTACTTGTGTCTAGATTACAACCACGATCTTGAAACTCAGATCCAAAGCATCGAAATGATCATCAACACCGATAAAGTTCCTGCTGAACAAATTCTACAGACTTTCAACGAAAGGTTAGGAGTTGATGTGCCTGTAGATGCTCTGCCGAACAAGAGCGAGTTTAATGACCAATGTCCGAAATGCAACAAAGATGTCCAAGAAGCACAAATTGTCACAATAAATGAAGAAGGCAGGTTTGAACACACAGTTTGCCAATAATTCCTTCGTCTGATGAAAATTCTGATACTGAAATAGTAAAAGTGGTGATTTAAATTAGAATCCTTCGATAAATGATTTCAATACTTGAAGCCTAATGAGGGGTTTTGGGGTTTTGGGGTTTTGGGGTTTTGGGGTTTTGGGG